AATGCACCAATAGGAATTTAGGAATAATTAAATAATTAAAAATTGTAATAAGGGTAATTATGTAACTTTAGCATGCTAATTAAAATAAAATCCCTTAATTCATGGAAATTACCATAAAAATCTGTTTGACCAACTATTTAACCCTAGCCTTCTATATCATACGTAATACGCCTCCTCCAATTTTCTTATGGACGAATGAACATCGTCTGATCAAAAGAGGTAGTCAAACCTCTTGCTGCAAATCTGTTTCCCTATTCCATTGATTAAGAAGATGTTATTCTCGGTGGCTCCATCTCCAATCGAAGCTAGCTTCAACATCGAGGCAATTTTGGAGTCACAAGAAGCCGATGTATGTTTCTGCATCATTGCTACAGTTCCTTCGATTATCGGTTCTCTAGAGCTTTTCCAGATCGAGCAAACTTCGTATGCCCTTATTTATCCGGTAACAACTCTTCAATTCTCATGAATTATGGTCCGTTAACTTGTGATTCGAATTATCTATTTCTATTGTTCGCTGAATTGGATGGTTAAGTAAGGGAAAATCTAATGTGTTCAAGAAGAACACGCTATGCACATAAGGTGCTCGACTAAATTCCTGAAAGAAGGACCAACTTGCTGTCTCAGTGAACTGTTGGTGGAATCGAAGATATTCGGAGTGGCTACGCAATCACATCACCGATTCAGATAATTGGGGGAATATTAGGGCGTGTTTGGCTTCCTCCTCAATTTGCACGAAGATGACTCAGGATTCGTACACTGCTCCTTAATTCTTCGCTTCCAATATATCTCATCTTCAGGTACTATTTCTCAGATTTCAATTTTTGGTTGCGTGTTCTTCTTCTTCAACACCATAAATGCAGACCCTGTTATTTACAGTAACTTGTAATCTATGCATTCATGGTTGTACATTGTCCCGCATTACCTCACTTGAACATGATCCATGGAAAGATCAAATATTTACTTGATTATAACTTTACAATATATTATCATCATACTTTCTTAAAATGAAATTTACCAATAGATGATTCTTGTTAAATAATTTATGATGTTAAGTAAATGCTTTGTGGACCACTTAGCATGGGTGTTAATCTTTATTGATCAATCTTGTGAATATGATTCATGAGCTAATTAATGAGCTAATAAATCTAATTTTCATATTATTTTTTAAATAAAGCTTTTTGATTTTTCAAAAAATGCACTTTTTTTGGAAAACTATATTTTTTTAAAATAAATTGATTTTTTTAAAAAAAAATTGCTAATTTTTTAAAAACAGTAAATTTTGAAAAATCAATAAATTAAAAAAAAAAACTGGAGTATTTATTATAAAAAAGAACTATATTTTTTAACCAAAAAAATCAATGTTTTAAGTGCATACATGCATATTTTTCAAGTATGTATATGCATCTTTCATATATTATAATATTCGTAAGTAATCATATAAAAAAAATCTATTTTTATTTAATAATCTATAAACACGATAGTACAAATATTTTATTCGATACAAAATAAAATATAAAAAACAAAAAACACTACAAAATTTCAAAGCGTTTTCATGTTTTCGTGTCAAGATTTCCATATTTTCTTTAATTTATCATTTTTACCTCTTCAAAATTTTTCCACAAATTTTTCCAAATCTACAAGAAAATTAAAAAAAATTGATTAATGCAAGAAAACTCACAAAAATACATGTGCGCATATAGACGTAATTCATATGTGATTCACTTGTGATTTATGTGAGTTACATGTGATTCATATGTGAATTACACGTGAATCACATGTAATTCATATGTCATTCACTTGTGATTTATAAATAGTCTAACACTTTCATCCCCATTTCCATTATATACGAATGAATACTCATAAAACAATTAACCACTTTACTATAATAATAAATCAATTAATCAGAAACAGATAATATATAATAGACACTACTCTCACCATATCCAAACGCTTCTTGTGTAAATCACTTGGTGGCTACATTTTAGTTTCAAACAATCAATTACATTTTAATTTTAATTTTCTACACAAAAAAAGAGTCAACTTACATTGTCTTGTTTTCGTTTTTTCTCTGCACTTGAGAACCCAAGAATTGTCAACTTGTAGTTCTTTTCTCTACACAAGAAAATAAATGTTAACACAAAAATATCAATCCTAGGTTATTCTCAGAAAAGTCCTATGTATTTTGAACCTTTTTAAACAAAAAAAGACACAAAATCACTTTTTTTTGTTAAAAAGAAGGATAGCCTTTTTAGAAAAAAAAAGGTCAAAATACACAGGATATGGTCTTCATGAAGGTGCCGCCTTGGAAATGTGTCATTCAGTTTAGGAAGCGGGGCAAGTTGGGCCCCAGGTACATTGGACCTTTCAGGGTTGTAGCCCGGGTGGGCAAGGTGGCATATAGGTTGGACCTGCCAGCCGTACTCAGTCAGATTCACAGTACTTTTCATGTCTCCCAGTTATATGCTTTATTTAGGGATGCCCCCCGAAGCTGAGATCGTCAATCCTCAGGACTAGGTAACGGTTCTTCACCGTTACCTTATTCAGCTCCCGGTAATCTATACACATGCGATGCGACCCGTCCTTCTTCTTCACGAACAGAATCAGGGCTCCCCAGGGCGAACTGCTTGGTCTGATGAACCCCTTGTCTAACAGCTCATGCAGCTGTGTAGACAACTCCTGCATATAAGGAAGAGCCAACCAATATGGTGCTTTGGCTATCGGAGCCGCACCGGGGACCAGGTCGATCCTAAACTCTACCTGCCTCTCCGGAGGTATCCCATGCAGCTCCTTTGGGAATACATCCGCATACTCTCGTACTACTGGTACGTCACTCAACGTCGCCTTACCCGCCTCCCGGGTATCCAAGACATAAGAGACATGTTGGATAAGGTGTCTAAGTCCATAACTTATTTGGTATATACTTGACCCGACCCGGCATGGTCCAT